CCCAGATTACGAGTCTACCGCTCTTAACCACTACACCACACTGGCTTACTTTTAAAATAGGCTTCCCCTTCCCATTTATAGTGGTTTCCTCCAGTGCTATTTTTCTGGAAAAAGGTGGCAGAATTCACCATGAACGCCTCTGTTGCTCTCTTATAATGGCAATGGCACCCACTTGAGAGGTGCCAGAACTGAGGTCCGGTGAGCTCTGGCTGAAAAGAATAATCCCTGGTTTTTCCTCCATGCTTACGACACAATAAACAGATGTGTTCCTTAGGGATTTGAACACAGATCGCCATTCTCCTTCTCCCAGTCTTCAAAAGGACTGTCCATCCATATTTTTCATTTTAAAAAATGCAACTTGACTAGTCATTTGGAAATATAATTGTTTTATTCATTAAAGGGAAACCTGTTTCTTCCTTCCTTCTTTTTTATATTTTGGTTTATTGATTCCAAAAAGAAAACAAACAGTCAATGAAAACACTTTAACATCTTACAAAAAGATATAATAGTTTCATAATACATATCTTCTATGGAGACTTCCCATCACCCCCTCATGGTTCCTTAGTCCTTTTTGGTTTGTTGCACTTATCTTTATCACTAATAATACATCTTAGTTCTATGGTTTCCTACTTTCCTACAGAAGTCACTCCAGGCCTGCCAACGAGTTCAAATTTTTGCAGTGCTCCCTGAGATACTTTCTATACATGTCCCATTCCCTCATAAATGTTTGTTCAGTCCAGTCCCTTAATTTTTCTGCCATTTTTGCTAATTCTGCAAACTCTTAACAGTTTTGATTGCCACTCCAGTTTAGTCAGTGTTACATCTCCTTTCTAGTTTCTAGCTATTATAATTTTTGCTGCCAGAAATATCTTCCTCACCTTTTTTGGTATATCTATGTCTATTATGCCTAAAAGGAAGGCTTTGGATTTTTTTTTTGCAAAGGTAATCTTGAATATATTTTTGAGTTCGTTGTAAACTGTTTCCCAAAATTCCTTTACTTTTCTACAGTTCCGCCACATATGTAGCATTGTGCCCTCTGCCTCGCCACATCTCCAACATCATTTTGAGGTGTTCCTATACATTTTTGCTAGTTTTGAAGGCGTTAAATACCACCTATATAGCATCTTCATAAAATTCTCTCTCAGCATGTAGCACGTGGTAAACCTTAGGTCTTCCTTCCATAATCTTTCCCAAAACTCCATTGGGATATTATATCCAAAGTCTTGGGCCCATTCGACCATCACAGATTTTACCTCCTCCTCCTTGACCTCAAGGAGAAGTTTATACTGATTGTATTCTGATTTTAATCTGATTTTAATCTGTATTTAAATTGATTGTTTGCTTTTATGTTTTTATGTATTATACATTTTGATGTTAGCCAACCTGAGCCCGGTTTTGGCCGGGGAGGGTGGGATATAAATAAATTTATTATTATTATTATACATTTTAGAGAGAGTTTTCTCTTTTGATTGCCTACTCTCTTTCTCTTTTTCTAATCTAGATGGTTCTGTAGCAAAACACTTCCTTTTATCTGATTTGAATGTCTCATTTCGTTGATGGTATCGGAGCCAGTATGAGAGATGTGATCTAATTTCATCAAAACTTTTTAATCTAAGCTGGTTTTCCTCTTCTTCTAAGAATATTCTATATAGGTTGGCCAGTTTCCTTTCATATTTTTTTTCTTTACTGCAAATGCCACTAAGGGTGATATACAACAGGGTGTTTTGGGTTCAAGTAGATCTTTGTATGTGGCCCATACCACATATAGCAGTTTGCTTATATGACTCAGAAATCCTTTGTGGACCTTAACGTTACCATACCCTAAATAGGCGTGCCATCCATAATGGTCATTGAAGCCTTCCAAATCTAATAAATCCATATTCTGTCATAGCAACTGTTAAGGTGTGGGTGAACATATCAGACGACACAGCGATTCTTCAAACAGCTCTTGTTTATTCACAGGCCAGAACAGAACTGAACTGAAGGGTTCAGCCAGCCTGCTTATATAGAGCTCCACTAGAACGCAACAGTAACCATTTTCGGTAACTATCCAATCGCTGAACATCACTTTCGATCCCTTATTTGCATATGTGGACCTGAACTATCTACAGTATCCCCCTGCTGGCCCAGGGTGAGAACTTCAGTACATAACAGCAACCATTCTCTGACCCAGGAGAGGCAGGCTGCCTCGTGGTATTATTTCAAATCTTGGCAGGGGAATCCCCCGTCTTTTCTTTTAGATAGATAGATATAGATAGATAGATAGATTCTTTATTGTCATTAACACAAGTGCAACATGGCAACAAGTGCAACGAAATTGGATGCCATCCCTTTAAAACAACAAAAGCCAAAAGCCAACAACAACAACCAAACAAACAAACCCCCTTCCAGCCACACCCAACACCCACACCCATCAAACTCCCAGGTCTCCCTATCGAGTTACAGGCCATTCAAATAAGCCACAGCTCTTTGGATAGAAACTGTTTTTCCAGTCTATTTAGTCCTTGACCTGATGTTTCTATGACCTCCTGCCAGAAAGGCAGTAGTGCAAACAGGACTGTATCACCGGGTAAGATGGATCCTGCAGGAGTGGGTTTTTTATTTATTAAATAATTTTTGGCTTAATCTGGGTGTGTCCCCCCCCCCCGCGCCAAGATAGAAATCTGGAGAAGTCTCGTTGCCATTACTTTGAAGCAGCCCATCCCCCTATCATCCGAAATTGATTGGAGAGAAAAAAAGCATTTTGGAAGTACTTTCATTTTATGTGGATATTCTTCCCAGAATGATCATTTATAACCTACTTCAAATCTCCAGGTTCCTTTTGAATTTCTTTCCATGTTTTTATATCGTTATCTTGGAATAGATTGATAGTTTTTGCCATTAGCCATATTCCTAGGTATTTTACTTTTTACAGGTTGTCAGTTTCGAAGTTCTTTCTAGTTCCTCTCTTTCTTGGGCTACCATATTCTTAACCAATAATTTCGTTTTGCTCCTGTTCAGTTTGGAAGCCCGTCACCTGACCAAATTCCTTGATTGTTTCCGACACTTTTAATAAGCTTTCCTTTGGATTTTCTGTCATGATTATAAGGTCATCAGCAAAGGCTTTTAATTTGTATGACTTCTCCCCTACTACAATTCCTCTTATGTTTGTACAGTATATTCTCTTATTTAGCGGTTCCAATACTAGTATAAATAACAATGGAGATAATGGACACTCTTGCCTTGTCCCTTTTCCTATATTACAGCTGTCTTTGACATTTCCATTTATGATTAGTTTAGCTTGCTGATCTGAATATATTGCCTCAATTCCTTTACAGAAGGTCTCTCCACAACCCATTCTCTACATTAATCTTTTCATAAAGTGCCAGGATATGTTGTCAAAGGCTTTTTCCGCATCTACTAGCATTAGTGCTGCTGGTTTATCATTCCTGCTTTCTAAATATTCCAAAATATCAATCACATTTCCAATATCATTTTGCATCTTCCTTACCAGGAGAAAGCCCGCTTGATCTTCATGAATGATCTCTTTCAGCGTCTTTTTAAGTCAAAAGTTCTTTTGAAACTGATTTCCCCCTTTAAAAAGACTTAAAAAGGGAAATCAATTTCAAAAGAAATTGATTTTTTATTTTTTTTTGGATGTTGCAAGCACCAGCTGGCTTCTTCTGCAAATTGGTGAAAGTGGTTTTTTCTCTCTGAGATAAATCCTGGAGAGGGAATTGTATGTTTGTATACAACATTGTGAGCGTATTGCCACAGCAGCTTGATTGCTAAACTACCATATGTCTGTATTCATTCATAGGCATACGAACAGGAGCCATACCATTAATTCACACAGGCGGGGGTGAAACGGAATGCTGTGTACAGCATCACTGTCAAATAATGTTGTGTGGAGTCTAAGGTCCACTTATAGCTCAGCCCAGAATTCCTACATCCCAGAACTAGTCATTGTGAAAAAAGGAACAATACAGTGGTACCTCGGGTTACATATGCTTCAGGTTACAGACTCCGCTAACCCAGAAATAGTACCTCGGGTTAAGAACTTTGCTTCAGGATGAGAACAGAAATCGTGCTCTGGTGGCGCAGCGGCAGCAGGAGGCCCCATTAGCTAAAGTGGTGCTTCAGGTTAAGAACAGTTTCAGGTTAAGAACGGACCTCCGGAACGAATTAAGTACTTAACCTGAAGTACAGTACCACTGTACTGCATTGTTTAGAATTCTGCTTAAATGAAAGAACATGGTATTTGATGCAGACCCTGGGAGAGTCCATGGAAAAGAGACTATTTTGCTTAAAAACTTAAGGAAGTGAAGGCAGGTTTTGCCAAACTTTTGAAAAACTAAAAGCGATGTGAGTAGGGTTGCCCAAATCTGGTCTGAAACTAGAAAGAAATCAAATTCTGGACAAAGGAAGTGAAGTGACAGATTGGGTAACACATTTCAAGCCTGTCTAATGCTAAATTCTGAACATAGAGATTACTTTCTGGTCATGAGACTTGGGCTTGTTAAGGGGAAACATCTGGACTCGCACGCAGGCTGTGATCTGATAAAAAAAAGTCACCAAAATGTTCACCAGAAATGAAGACACCACACTGAGCAGCCCTGCAGAGCTGAAGAGATGGTCCTTTATGTATTAGAATACAAACCATACGGCCTAGCAATAGTGTTGAGATTTGAATTAATTGATGGAGATATGGGTAAGGATCACTGGGGTTAAATGGCTATGCTGCGCTATCTGCCTTCTTACGGATTCTGCTCTAGGTTGCAGAGACCCGGATGAGCCTGAAGGATTTGGGTGAAGATGGTTGGTGCTATAGAGACACGTTTTAGCTGTACAGCGAGAGTATCCACAGTGACATCACTCCTGATACCAAGCAAAGGACAGAAGAGACCAGCAGAGACTGTGCCCTGCAGAATGCCTTGTATCAGATGAGATACTGTGCATGCGTTCGTCTCTATGTGCTGCATCTTCTCTGCCTCACCGCCTCGCCATTGGAGCCACTGCTTTCACTCTCTCCCCTCTCCATTACTGAGAAAGAATTTCTTGTTCCAAAGCACCACTTCCTCTTCCCCTTCCTCCCTACTTAGCACTCGGTAAGTCTGGTTTTTTTGGCAAGGCTTCCGCATCACCTGAGGACAAAGGGGTGAAAGAAGAAGAACAGAACATTAGAGTTTACTTCTCTGCTTCTGACGAAGGATCAAATCACCTTGCCCCAAACTAACCACAGGGTTAGGGTAAAGCCACCAGTTTGGTCGCACTGGGCGCTGTGCTGCAGGGGGCACCATAACAGTGCTGTAGAATGGAGCGCAAGAGGCAGGGGAGGGCACCAGGTTTTAGCATGGCACAGGGTGCCGCTGAAATTTGAGAGACCAAAGTTTGTCAGTACTAGCCAAGTGGAACTTGGCATCCTTTAGAATTGGTGTGGGGAACCCTTGGTCCTTCAGATGGACTACAACTCCCCTCAATTGCAATGGCAATTGTAGTTCATCAACATCTGGAGGGCTAAAGTTGTCCTGCACGTTCTTGAGAAGTTCCTGGAAAGAATAAACTTGGGACATAGGAGGAAGCATGTGGCAGAGCCTGGATACTGTCATACTTCATGCTACGTTTGCTTCAGGTTGCGCGTTTTCAGGTTGCGTCCCGAGGCGACCCGGAAGTACCGGAAAGGGTTACTTCCAGGTTTCGCCGCTTGCGCATGCGCAGACACGCAAAATGAAGCCACGTGCATGCACAGAAGCGGCGAATTGTGACCTGCGTGTACACAGAAGCGGGTTGCATTCTTTTCAGGTTGCGAACGGGCCTCCGGAACGGATCCTGTTTGCAGCCAGAGGTACCACTGTACTCTGCAAAGACTGAACCAAGATGGGGAACAGAGCTGCTGACTAGTCGGAAATGACTTGCAAAAGAGCAGCTAAGGGCTCCTCCAGATTTCTTGTTGCGCCACACTTTCCAGGCACAGGTCTGAGCTTTAAAGCTCCATGTCCAAGTGGTTTTTGTTTTCCCAGGGGAAACCTGCAATTTACCACTGAATTGGAGTAAGCAGCAATCCATGGAAAATCACATTAATTCAGCAGCAAAAAAAGACTTCCCCCAGGGTGCAAGCCTGGGCAGTGTGCATGGAAATCCTGGGCTGTCTGGATGACAAGACGCCATTCTCTGTCTCTCTGGTGTGCTCCAGAGGAAAGCAGAGCAATACGTTTGGCACCAGCTTGGCTATAGGACTTGCCAGAAGGAGGCGTACAAGATGCCATCCAAATGTCTTAGGGACGCCACACCGGATTTGTGTAGGGTTTGTTGTTGTTTAGGCGTTTAGTCATGTCCGACTCTTCGTGACCCCCTGGACCAGAGCATGCCAGGCCCTCCTGTCTTCCACTGCCTTCCCAGTTGGGTCAGACTCATGCTGGTAGCTTCGAGAACACTGTCCCACCATCTCGTCCTCTGTCGTCCCCTTCTCCTTGTGCCCTCCATCTTTCCCAACATCAGGGTCTTTTCCAGGGAGTCTTCTCTTCTCATGAGGTGGCCAAAGTATTGCAGCCTCAGCTTCAGGATCTGTCCTTCCAGTGAGCACTCAGGGCTGATTTCCTTAAGAATGGAGAGGTTGATCTTCTTGCAGTCCATGGGACCCTCAAGAGTCTCCTCCAGCACCAGAATTCAAAAGCATCAATTCTTCGGCGATCAGCCTTCTTTATGGTCCAGCTCTCACTTCCATACATCACTACTGGGAAAACCAGAGCTTTTACTATACGGACCTTTGTTGGCAAGGTGATGTCTCTGCTTTTTACTCCCAAAGATATGCTGCAAGGTTTAGGATCAGAGATTTCCTTCTACCTTCCCAGGCTGACAAGCCCCATCTGCCCCTATCACTGCACCTTTTCTTCTCAGTAAAATGCAGGTGTTCCTGGGGAAATCGCCATGACAAAAACAAGCAAATGCTCGGTCACAGTGCTTGAAAATGCAGACCTGTGCCCAGAAACATGGCACAAAAGGAAGTCTGGATGAGCCCTCAATGCATGATCCAACTAAACAAAGGCAGCCTTGTTGCTTTCTACCTCTTTTCTTTTTAGTTGAAAGAAACAAGCGAGGATAAGCTTTGCCTTTCTGTAATGAGGGAGCACTCAACAAACAACTGATTTCTTATACTTAAGCTTCAAGAAGGGAACTTGAAGGTGGCATCTCCCACCTTCTCTCCAGCATGGCTGTCTTTCAGACACTGCTTGCTCTTGAAAGCGCAGTAGGTGGGGTGTTGAACTCCTGTCGAGTCGCAGATCTGGGAAGAAGGAAATGAGAAGGTGGCAGGGGTCACAGGAACAAACCAACGTGATGGGGGCAAGGGACAGATATTCCATTAATACTCACTTCTTTTGGGAAATCTCCTTTTTGGAAGGAGGAATACTCTGTCTTCAACCACAGAGACACCCGATAATCATCGCAGCCACGAGCAGCCAAGCGACCGCACCAATAGTCTGCTTTCAAGCCTGCATATGTCTCAACCCCAAAATACTCTTCTACCCCTGTGGGGACCTGGTGGTAAAAAATGAGGAGGAGGGAAAGGGGCGGAATCAATGGAACTTGTCCATAAGTGAAGCTTTCTCTAATATCTGGGCAACCTAAATGTTTGGCTTACCCTGGAATGCATAGCCTGGTGTTGAGCCAAGATCCCTGGGTTGATGTAGGATGTGAATATGCCACCAACACAGTGGGTACGCTTCAGATTGGAGGCTCCTTCGCACTGCTCTGTCTTCAGGGAGCAGAAAGCACACTCAGAGCACATGTCGGCATGGCGTCGGCCAAGGCTATCACACACCTAGGGAGTGATGGAGCAATGAGAAGGACCAAAACATAGCCACGCCTGCTGGAACAATCTACCTCTCTGTCTTGAAGCATGTGGCAAACCACTGTTGCGGGTGCAGTCCTTCCCAACATGTTGGTCCTTCTGTTCAGAGTGCGGCGCCTTGCCTACCCTGCAACGTTCCTCAGATGAAAATAGGGACAAATGTCTGGCAGCTTCTCTCCTCCTCCTCACCCATTCTCCAGCAGCCACTAGGAGCTGCCCAAGAGAGGAGGCCATAGAGAGCCCATGAGATTTTCCTTCACAGCTGCCACTGCTGTTGCCTGGGACAAGCGCTGGCTCATCCTTCTCTCTGAGCTCAGTGGCAGCACCATGGGCAGGGGAAACAGGGACATTTTGGGATCAAGTCAAAAGCCAGGATGGCTTTCGTAATTCCAGGACTGTCCCTGGAAAAAAAGGGCGCTTGGAGGATATGCCCTTGTAACTGAGGTAAAGGGATTCCTGACCATTAGGTCCAGTCGTGGCCGACTCTGGGCTTGTGGCGCTCATCTCGCTTTATTGGCCGAGGAAGCCGGCGTACAGCTTCCGGGTCATGTGGCCAGCATGACAAAGCCGCTTCTGGCGAACCAGAGCAGTGCACGGAAACGCCGTTTACCTTCCCGCCAGAGCGGTACCTATTTATCTACTTGCACTTTGACGTGCTTTCAAACTGCTAGGTTGGCAGGAGCAGGGACCGAGCAACGGGAGCTCACCCCGTCGCGGGGATTCGAACCACCGACCTTCTGATCAGCAAGTCCTAGGCTCTGTGGTTTAACTGGATCCAAAAATTGATTTGCTGCTAGGCCAGGTTCAAGGTACTTGTGTGAATTCTCAAAGGCCTAAATAACTTGGGCGCCAGTTGTCTGATTCCTGTGTTCCACTTCAGTCACTGAGATCTTCTGATGGGACACTTCTGGTGGTGCCACACATCCCTGAGGCCTGGTTGACCATCACTAGAGACTGATCCTTTCGTGTGCTGAGCCCTACCCTATGGAACTGCTTATTCTTCCCTCAGAAGTTTTTTGAAACCTTTGTATAGACAGGCATTTACCACATGAATGTTCATTTTGTTGTTGTTATGTTTTGTATGGACGATCTATTTTTTTTATTTTATTTTTATATGTTGCATTCCGCCTTGCTGCATTCTTTTTAAAATGAAAGTGAAGATTATAAATTCACAAATAAAGTTCGGCCTCCCCTCCTCCTCTTATCAAGACCTCTTACTAGCTCAGAAGGTGGCACCGAAATTTAAGGTGGGCTTGGAGATCTCCCCGTTTATCAACTGCTGGGCTCTGCTGTGAGAAGGTATGAAACTGGCATCCAGCACGGAGCTTACCAAATCCCCAAAGCCAAAGGTTTTTGACTCCATTTGTTTCCAGGCCTTGCTAACAGCTGAGGATATGCAAATGTCTTGCAGCACTGCATAGCAGAGAATCACCAGAGCTTCTTCCTTGTCAAGAGCTAAGAGGCTAAGGCAACAAAGGAGAAACGGAGAGAAGGAAATTGTGAGAAGGAGGGCCATTTTGATCTCCCAACCCCCTCACAATATCTCTTGGAGGCAGCTCCGATACCTGGGTGCTCATCAGCCCGAGAAGAAACCCCTGAAAATGGCAGCCTTCTATGTCAATCCCCGCCCCCTTCTCATTGTAACTAATTAAGGAAACATGGGACTAAGATGACTCATGTGTGGGGAAATGCATGCTGCGCTATCTAAGTAGATAGAGGAAGGGGAAGTTGATATCCAACTGCCATTTTCAGTGGCAAACCCGTATCTACTCTCATGCCTTGTTTGAGCCTCAGAAGAGGTCCTTATTTACCGCATTTTTCGCTCTATAAGACGCACCAGACCATAAGATGCACCTAGTTTTTGGAGGAGAAAAACAAAACAAAAAAATATTCTGAATCTCAGAAGCCAGAACAGCAAGAGGGATCGCTGCGCAGTGAAAGCTTCTGGGTTCTGGCTTCTGGGATAGCTGCGCAGCCTGCATTCGCTCCATAAGATGCACACACATTTCCCCTTACTTTTTAGGAGGGAAAAAGTGAGTCTTATAGAGCAAAAAATACGGTAAATCCACAGGACAAGTGCCCCTATGGCGTAATGCAGAGCCTCACAAAATAGTTTTCCCTGGGTCCCATAAAGGAGGAAACCTATGCTTTGGAGGAACCCATAAATGGTTATCCAGAGAGAATCCTATTACCATACCACCACATTGATGGGCCGTCAGAATATGTGCATGCTTTTTTTTTCAATTACAGACAAGTAATCAAGTGACGCCTTGTTTTTGTGAATGGGCCATCGTGGATGGTGATTGGCAAAAAGAGAGAAATGCCCATGCAATTGGAAAATTAGCAAAAGAAGTTGACAGTTTCAAAGCAGATCTTACATATGATTGAATATGCAGTTGTTTAGGTTAATAAATAACTGATGCTAACATATAGGGCTGGATTTTACTAACCCGGACTAAGGAATCCTACTAGCACAATGAGGATTTCCTCCCCCCCCCCCCGAAATCCACTCTGAAATCTGTCTGGAGAATGTTGCAGAACAGTGTGCGGGATGTGGAGACGGGAGAATTTGGCAAGCAGCAATCTTTGCCCTGATGGAATGATCATCTTAGTGCAGTACTGAATGCCAACCACAGACGTTGCTTTTGAAAAATTCGCAACATGCTCCTTTAAGCTCTACTTACAGCTGCCAGAAAATCTAATTGTGCTCTATGGTTTTGCAATGCATTATCTGAAAGTGTGGAACTGCCAAAGGCTTGGGAAACATTAACACTCTAGCAGGATACACCAGCAAACTCTTGGGTCCCAACAAATGTGCAGATATGAAACCCTGACAAACGTCTTTGCTTTTTTTGTTTTTTAAGGAGAAATGTATGACTAGGGGAAAGGAGGAGGAGGGGTTCTGGAGGAAAGACGAGGCAGGTGAGGAGAACATTAGTCCTTTGTCTTAGTTCCAGATCCAGGGATTGGAAGACCCTTGGGTAACATGTCCCCCATCTTTGTGGGTCTCCCTTCCCCTCACCAAGGCACCATGACCTACTCCTTTGCCTTCTGGACCCAATCCCTACAACTCCCAGGGTAGGAGGTAGGCAGGAGGGAAGTGGAGACTACTGCTCTTCACTTTGCTCTTCTCATTGCTTGCATTTTTGAGAAGGTAGCTGAACAGGTGACAATAATGAACAGGATGTTTGCCCCCTGTAGGGCTGTGAGCATCAACTAGCGCCTGACAACACCTACAAGTACCGATTCCTTTCTCCCCATCGCTCCTTTGCTCTACATCACCTGAGGATGTGCTCCCCCCCCCCGTTTCTTTATTTGAAACTTCGCTCAACCTGTTATTCGTTCATTCAAACCACATTTCTTTCCACATTCATGGCTTCTTGTCAGCGTTTCAACTTTTTGTCGTCGCTGCTGCTGCTTCCTGGGTCGGCGGCAACAGAGCTGATTTGGGGAAGCTGCCAGAATGCTCTGAGAATTGCATCATTGTGGGACATTTGGGGGGGGGGTAGTGGAAAAGGCAAGTTCCATTAGCACCAACCCTTTCTCTCCAAATGACACGATGTTCAAAGAAGTCTACAAAAAGAAGTGGAAGTCCCCAAAATGAGCTGCTGCCACTCTTAGGGAAAGATAAAGTCCCAGCCCTCAAATGGGTATAAATGGGATGACAATGAACCAATTTGTACCTATTAATTACTCATTCCATTACATCTAAAACCTCAACCGAAGTTTAATTCTTCGCTCATTATGAAACAGATACGCACCCTTAGAATCCACTCTTTACTGAAGTAGCTGCTCTTTCTCTCTTTTTAAAAGTGAGTGGATTTGGTCTTCTTTGTTTTTTACTTGGTTTTAGAATGTGTGGGCTTGTGGCTGTTTGTAACATGGCCATCACAATGGATAAATAACTGAGGAACTGCTAGACTGGCCCAAACTGGGAGCTGAAGCGTTGCATCGATGTCAATAATTTTGTATATCTTTGGGTAAGTTGTTTTTAAAGGAGTAAGGATATGGAGAACCTACGATTTCCCTCATAAAACAAAGCAATGCAGCTGTCGCTCATCCACACACTGATTTAGCACTCATAGGGTGCTACGCCCTGTACAAAATAAAGCCTGTATGCAAATCCTGACCAGAAAGCACCTTACAATCAACAATTGAGTGGAACATGGATTGATGATGTAGGAGATCTGGGAAGGAGGCAGCACGGAGTAAACTGAGAGCAGAGGAAGGATGGGGGGTGACTCAGTTGCTTTGCAGTGTGCCAGAATATCCAAACCCTGTACATTGTCTGTTGGGGTGACTATGTTGACCGAGTTGAAGAAGCAAGTCTTGAAAATAAACTTTAGGACTTTCCACATTATTTGTCCTCAATGCACTTTTTATTTTCTACTTATAACTTTAGTCCACACAAGCATTTTGGAAATATAGAAATATATATTTAGTCGATATAATGAGGGGAAACGAAAGGGAGGAGCCAGTGGGAGCTGACAACAAAGGTGTCCCATCGCTAGGCATCTTCCTCTAGGCCCTGCCGCCTGTGCTTTGGGGGGGTCTGTTTTCCTCAGCAAATGTTACTATTTTTGGCCTGGGAGCAAGACTTGCCCTTACCTCCCCTTGGAACCGGACCCTTCCTGACTAGTCAGCATATTCAGGTCTCCTTCTCTGCCTCCTTCCTTTGATCCTTTGTAAGGCTGCGCGTTCTCGGCATTCAGGGACTGCTCCAGGGAGAAGGCCATGCCGATCAGGCGGTGGATGCTCTTGTGGAGCTGCTGGTTCGAGAGCCCCTTGGTGACTGATGGCTCTTCAGTTTCGGAGACGGCCATTTCGGTAGTGGACACGGCTTCTGCAGTGGCCGCGACGAGCACAGCACTCACGTAGTCCGGCGTGCTGGAGGGAGTTGAGATGGAGCGTTCCCTGGCCACAGGCTCCTGGCCTGAGACGGCAAAGGAATATTTCAAAATGGCGTCGATGTTGGAGCGGAGGCGGGCGTCGCGGGAGGGTGTGGCACTATGGTCTATTGGCGCCATGTTACGCAACTGGCTTGGGGATGGAGAAACGGCATTGACCTCGTCTTGATCCTCATACTCGTCTTCATGTCTGTGCATGTGTTCGTACTCATGTTCATGCTCATGTTCATGCCTGTGTTCATGTTCGTGCTCATGTTCATGCTCATGTTCGTGCTCATGTTCATGTTCGTGAACCTCATGTTCGTGAACCTCATGTTCGTGAACCTCATGTTCGTGAACCTCGTGTTCGTGTTCATCCTCATCCTCTTCAAACTCTGGGCACAGTATCCGCTATCCAGGGTGGGGGTGGAGGAAGGAGAAAATTTGGGAAAAACGTGACCAAGTTGTCTTGGGTGACGAATCCTCTCTCCCACTCCCCCATGTAAAAGAGGACTGTCTCCTTTTCTCATCAGACCTAGTTCATTACCTGGTATTACTATTAGTACAGTGGTACCTCAGGTTAAGAACTTAATTCATTCTGGAGGTCCATTCTTAACCTGAAACTGTTCTTAACCTGAGGGGACCACTTTAGCTAATGGGGCCTCCCACTGCTGCCGCGCCGCCAGAGCACGATTTCTGTTCTCATCCTGAAGCAAAGTTCTTAACCCGAGGTACTATTTCTGGGTTAGCGGAGTCTGTAACCTGAAGCATATGTAACCAGAGGTACCACTGTATTAGTATTAGTATTCGTATTCTAGGCAGCCAGTCTGACTGGGTGGCTTCCAACACATTAAAACATCAAACACAGTAAAATATCAAACATTAAAAACTTCCCTAAACAGGGCTGCCTTCAGATGTCTTCTAAAAGACAGATAGTTGTTGTTGTTTTTTCCTTGACATCTGACTGGAGGGTGTTCCACAAGGCAGGAGCCACTACCAAAAAGGCCCTCTGCCTGGTTCCCTGTGGATTCATGTCTTGCAGTGAGGGAACTGCCAGTAGGCCTTGGAGCTGGACCTTAGTGTCCAGGCTGGACTATAGGGGTGGAAACGGTCCTTCAGGTATACAGGGATTTCTCAATTTCCACATTCCTCCCATTAAAAAAGAAGAAAAAAAGGACTTCCCCTCTTGAAAGACCATAACCACAGTGAAGGCCTATTTTCTGCTGCTATTCCAAGCAGACCTGGCTCCCTGGTGCGGTTAAGTCCAGCTCTATTTATTTCATGCTGCTCCTATGCCAAAATGGCTTCTAAGAGGTCTTCTGCATGATGTCTGTGGTGGAGGGGGAAATGGAAGCTTTCCACCCCACCTGGGATGGAAAAACATACAGGGTAGGACTACTGCTTACACCAGTGATGGCCAAACTAAGCCCTCCAGCTGTTTTGGGACTACAATTCCCATCATCCCTGACCACTGGTGCTGTTAGCTAGGGATGATGGGAGCTGAAATCCCAAAACAGCTGGAGTGCCAAATTTGGCCATCTCTGGATTACAACAAAACACCACCACCACAAACTGGCTTATAAGTATAAAAGCAAATTTACTAGAATAATTTACTAGAATAATAGTTAAAGCCATGGTTTTCCCAGTAGTGATGTATGGAAGTGAGAGCTGGACCATAAAGAAGGCTGATCGCCGAATAATTGATGCTTTTGAATTATGGTGCTGGAGGAGACTCTTGAGAGTCCCATGGACTGCAAGAAGATCAAATGCATCCATTCTTAAGGAAATCAGCCCTGAGTGCTCACTGGAAGGACAGATCGTGAAGCTGAGGCTCCAATACTTTGGCCACCTCAGGAGAAGAGAAGACTCCCTGGAAAAGACCCTGATGTTGGGAAAGATGGAGGGCACAAGGAGAAGGGGACGACAGAGGACGAGATGGTGGGACAGTGTTCTTGAAGCTACAAACATGAGTCTGACCAAATTGCGGGAGGCAGTGGAAGACAGGAGTGCCTGGCGTGCTCTGGTCCAGGGTGTCACGAAGAGGCAGACACGACTAAACGACTAAAAAACAACAAGAGAGAGAATTGTAACCGTTCAAGCAACAAACATACTAAGGTGCCATGTGCAAAACAAAGCCTGGATATACTGTAACATGGAGTGGATAAATGTACAACTGTATCTTAACAAGTTACATGTGCAATAAACGTTATACAGACTGGATAAATGAACTGTTCAACAAGTAGTGTAAGTCCAATCACAGAACAGTAACCCCGTGCTGCCACAATGGCAAGGGTAGCACACTGGAGAATATGAAAAAGTTTTCCAAAGCTGTTTTTCAAAGATTGAACTGGATGAGATGTTCTTCAATGGGTCTTGAGTTGGAAACACAAAGCCGTATGCATGGATCAGTCACGGGAAGGCAAATCAAAGCCACCCCCCTGGTGAGAATAGCGCAAGTGGGCAAAAGGAGATCTGTTCTCCGGATATATTACAGGTTTCGCTATACGCTTCATCAGTCTGAAAAGCCAGTCATACGAAACGGTTTATAACGTTCATTGCACATGTAACTTGTTAAGATGCAGTTGTACATTTATCCACTCCATGTTTACAGTATCTCCAGGCTTTGTTTTGCACGTGGCACCTCAGTACAGTGGTACCTCTGGTTACGTACTTAATTCGTTCCGGAGGTCCGCTCTTAGCCTGAAACTGTTCTTAACCTGAAGCACCACTTTAGCTAATGGGGCCTCCCGCTGCTGCCGCGCCACCGGAGCACGATTTCTGTTCTCATCCTGAAGCAAAGTTCTTAACCCGAGGTACTATTTCTGGGTTAGCGAAGTCTGTAACCTGAAGCGTATGTAACCTGAAGCGTAATTAACCCGAGGTACCACTGTATGGTTGTTGTTTGAATGGTTACAAGTCTATCTCCATTCTAGCTATTATTCTAGTAAATTTGGTTTTATACTTATAAGCCAGTTTGTTGTTTTGTTGCATTATTATTACTCTCACCACATTTGATACTTTGTGCATATACAGCACTGGATTACACAATAGGGTTTCACCCCCCTGAAATTGGCTGGCAGGGTTGTCAGGAGGAGCCCCAGAACAGTGTGCGAGGGGATGTGGGGGAATCATCACATCTGATAAGCTGGAATGCTCTGAACCATCAATTTAGCATGATGTGGAATTCCTCATATTCTTTTAAAGAGAGGCTTGAAAGAAGCATTGCTTCCCCTGGCATGCAGACCTATTTGTTTTTTCGCCTCTTCTAAAAGAATTTTGGCAGTGTTATGTACTGAGTTGAATAGGATCCAAAATGCAGCAGTCTGACTGGTCCTAGAACAATAGAATCCAAAATGCAGCAGTCTGATTGGTCCTAGAACAATAGGATTCAGAATGCAGTAGTCTGATTGGTCCTAGAACAATGCAGCAGTATGATTGGTCCGCAGGAGCCACCCAATCCAGCTCCAGGTGGAAGTGAACCCACAACCTGATTGGCCTACAGGAGAATCCCGGAATTAGCCAATCGCGTGCGGCTCATTGTGTAAATAATGTATATAAAGCAGATATTGTGGGGGAACTTTCATTCCTCCTCACCGCTATGAGCTGAATAAAGAGCATGAAATCCACTCTCGACTCCGAGTATATTTCAGGCAGGTTTTCCAAATAATATTAAATCTTCAAAACCCGATTACCGGGGGCAAAAGGAAAGGGAGAACGTGCACACAAAGAGCAATGTTCTGTCTTGAAACAACCCAAATTTAATACATTATCTGAAAAAAGGTATCACCCGTCTCCTGCTTGAAAGCAGATCAACCCCTGCACCATTTCTAAGGAAGATGAGGCAGGGCCAGGAATAAAAAAGCACCGGGAAGCTACATTCACTATTGTTTCTCTGGGCACACAGGTTTTGCAAGTTTTAGAAGCGCCACAAAAGAAATTGCAAAACCTGCTGGGCCAAGAGGCCACGGTGAAATGAGCCTATCCACCACAGGCAGTGGAATTAGGGATGTGTGGTTGTGTTAACAGCACAACCCCTTCTCTGCATTCATTCCTCAGTCCTTCCAGCCTGGAGCCAAGGCAATATTAAAGTCCTGCTTGCTGCAGCAGATATAAAGGACCGGGGAAGAAAAGGCAGGAAAGTGTAGCGATTGCATAATCCCCCTTTAAATTAAAATTTCAGCAGCTGGTAAGAGCATGAGTAGTTCAGGGATTTTTATTTCTTTTAATTATACGTTGTGTGCCCTTGCTTCTCATTTTGACCCTTTTACATGGTTTTGTATGTTTTGTGGTATTTTATGCATTGTGACTTGCCATTATCTTTACCGATTGTAGTTTAGTGGTTCTTTATTGTAATTGCTAAGTGTAAACTGTTTAATTTTTATTTGCTGATATTTAATTTTACTGTTTACTCTTACAGCCTGACGAATTACTGAATATTGCGTTACAGTCGTACCTTGGAAGTCAAACAGAATCCGTTCCGGAAGTCCGTTCGACTTCCAAAACGTTCACAAACCAAAGCACAACTTCTGATTGGCTGCAGGAAGCTCCTGCAGCCAATCAGAAGCTGCAGAAGCCCCGTCGAACGCTCAGCTTCCAAAAAGTAGTTCACAAACCGGAACAGCCACTTCCAGGTTTGCAATGTTTGGGAGCCAAAACAGTTCGACTCACAAGGCGTTCGAAAATCAAGGTACGGCTGTATTTGATATAAGTTGTTTATTTTAAAGTTGTGTTTTTATTATGACTTTTTTTGTATTGGATCAGATTGTTTATAGGCGTGCGATCTTTGCTGTCTATTTTGTTGTTTCTTCAGGTTGTAAACCGCCTTGGATATGGAAATATAGAAAGGTGGTACAATATACAAATTAAAAGTGGGGGGAAAATGAGTGAAATATCCCTGCCCATCCAAACATTTGCCCTAAGATCTGAGCAAAAGCAAGGGACACGTAAGAAAATTCACCTTCCATACTGTAACAAACTCCTGACAGTCATGATTTCTGAATAGCGTATGTCAATTTAAGGCAGAAGTTTCTTGGCCTGTGCACTGGTGCCCCTTGTTGTCAAGGCTGCAAAATGGAGGAAGACTAATACAGTGGTACCTCAGTTCTTGAACTTAAACCATTCCGGAAATCTGTTCGACTCCCGAAATGGTTCAAAAACCAAGGCGCAGCGTCCAATTGGCTGTAGGAGCTTCCTGCACTCAATCTGAAGCCGCATTGGGTGTTCGGCTTCCGAACAACGTTTGCAAACCAGAACACTCACTTCCGGGTTTGCGGTGTTCGGGAGCTGATTTGTTCGGGAGCCAAGCTGTTCCGAGTACCAAAGTACCACTATAGAGCATTGTGCTATCAGGTCTCAGTGTAGCTCCACTTCTCAAGGCAAGCCGCTGGGTCCTTGCCAAAGCATCAGTAAGACTGTGGCCTGGTTTGTGTGACACCCTGCCTTGCCCCAGCCATCTCGGCTTGCCTGTCCACTCTCGGTCTCCATTTTTGTTCCAGCTCCGCTCTGGGCATCTTCTCATATAGGACCTTGTCCTGTATCTCGATCTGTGCCTCTGCACTAACCCTCCTGCAATCCTCCAATTCTGCGGGAGGATAAAGGGTAACCTATTAAGGGACCTTAATGATATCCACATGCCTCAACCTTCTGCTTTTTAGCCAAATCACTCAGAATTTCGTATTCTTCTAAAAAACAGGAGCTCTATTGCAGCGGGCAGACATCCTTCTCTCCCGCTCACCTTGACGTAGAACCTCCGGTTTGAACACCGAAACTGTGCAAATAGACAAAAAGTCTCAAAACGTATGACGTGAGGAAGATCCGCACAGATGGGACCTGGAAGCAGAAGGCGAAAAGTCTTACCAGGGGAAGAAAGAACGAAAAGTACCATATCCTCCAGCGCTGCACAGAAGTAAACATATGCACCAGTTGTTGAACTGAGCTATACACTTATGTTCTCTATTGACTGAGGGGCCTGTGGCAGTATTTTGCCAAACAATGACCTACCATTGGCCAATTTCTTTCCCCCCATTTCCCTTAAAGCCAGGAGGAGACTTTTTACAGTGGTGCCTCACAAGACAAAATTAATTCGTTCCACAAGTTTTTTCTTCTTGCAAGTTTTTCGTCTTGCTAAGCACGGTTTCCCATAGGAATGCATTGAAAATCAATCAATGCGTTCCTATGGAGACCGCCTTCAGACCAGGTCCGGGGACAGTCTGTCCCCCGACCTCTTCTGAAGGCTGGGGGGGGGGACAAGGGCTTTTCTTCCCACCGCCAGCCTTCAGAAGGCTGTTCTGAAGGCTGGTGGTGGGAAGAAAAGCCCTTCTCCCCACCTCCCGCCCCGCAAGCTCCGGGGACAGGAGGGCTTCGCTGCTGACCCCCAGCATTTTAAAAGCCCCCGGGACAGCGGAGGTCTTCTGAAGGCAGGCGGTGGGCGAAAGTCTTTGCTCCGACGGCCAGCATTTTAAAAGTGGTCCGGGATAGCGGGAAAGCGCAGCGCGCTTCCCTGCTATCCCGGACCGCTTTTAAAATGCTGGCGGTGGGGAGCAAAGCCTTTCGGCCCCCGCCGGCCTTCCTGGACCTCTTCTGAAGGCCGGAGGGGGGCGAAAGGCTTTGCTCCCCACCGCCAGCATTTAAAAGAGGTCCCCAGAGATTTCCCTATGGGCTTTCTTCTTGCGAAGCAAGCCCATAGGGAAATTCGTCTTGCGGAACGACTCAAAAACGGAAAACTCTTTCGTCTTGCGAGTTTTTCATTTTGCGAGGCGTTCGTCTTGCGAGGCACCACTGTACATTGTTTTGCTTCCAAAGCACAAGACATTCAGAATTGCATCGAATTATCGTTGCAGACTAATGAAAGCCCGTTCCCCTTCCCATGTAAATCCAGATTAATAGTTACAGTTGTGGTTTGGGGAATCAAAGTGGGGAAAGGGCACAATCCACTCCAAGGTACTCCTGGGCAAGCCTTGCACAGGTCTGTTTACGGGTGAATTGTGTCCTTCCTGAACAGAACGGCAGTAAAGGTGAGCCGATGAAAACGCCTAGAGCATCTTCTGCTTCTCCTCTTAGGCCTTCATCTAGTAGGCTGAGAGTGGATCCACAACTGGGTCTTGGCCCAACCTAAGGAGGGTTGCTTCCCTGGCAAAGCCACCATTGTATTTTAATTTTTGAAGAGAAATAGAAAAATAAGAGGAGTATGGAGAGAGAAGGAAAGAGAGATGGGGCATGTCTAGCAATATATATCTTTTGCTTGTTCTATACTCGCTGATTGCGATAGCTATGCTCCTTTTGTGAACTATAGTTTGCTAGTTAATAATAACAATAATAATTTTATTATTTATTCCCCACCCATTTGGCTGGGTTTCCCCAGCCACTCTGGGCAGCTCCCAATAAAATATTAAAAACACGATAAAACATCAAACATTAAAGACTTCCCGAAACAGGACTGCCCTTCAGATATCTTCTAAAAGACAGATAGTTGATTATTTCCATGACATCTGCAGTTTGCTGCAGATACTAAAAAGTATTTCTGCTGCGGATACTAAAAAGTATTTATTAGCCACCTCTCTGCCCCATCCTGACCGAACTACAATTCCAAGGGTTCCCCAGGGTTAAGAAAAACTGCAAACCCCGCATTTCGCCAGTGTAGATATGACTCGTGAAAGAGGAAATTATAAAGTTTTGTTTAAAGAAACAATTCAAAAGTTGGTTCTATGCTGAAAATTGGTTTTAAAGGTTGATCTGAAGTCTGAAAAAGTTGAAGATGGTTGCCATAGGACCCGCACAGACATTCATAGGCCATATTTAGAGAGATCTGTAGATTTACAGACTGCAGAAAAGGCTGTTGGTGGCAGGTATCATATACAGTGGTGCCTCGCAAGACGAAATTAATTCGTTCCGCGAGTTTTGTCGTCTTGCGATTTTTTTCGTCTTGCGAAGCACGGTGTCGGGAAAGTTTTGGAAAAGCTTCAAAAATCACCAAAGTCTTTAAAAACCTCAAAAAAGGCTACCACACCGCGTTCTATGAGTTGCTCCTCGAAGTCAAGTCGCAACTGTATTAACGGTGTTAAGAAAAAGGAAACAAACTTGCAAGACGTTTCCGTCTTGCGAAGCAAGCCCATAGGGAAAATCGTCTTGCGAAGCAGCTCAAAAAACCCTTTCGTCTAGCGAGTTTTTTGTCTTGTGAGGCATTCGTCTTGCGAGGTACCACTGTATTGAAGAAAGTGCAACCAGAGTCTCTCACCACAAAAGGGTTCTGGTGGGAATCTGGAGCGTGAACCAGTGATCTGCACATACCATCAGGGATCTCGCCATGGTTCTCATACTGATCCAGCTGTAGGATTTTAGGATCCTGGCAACCTTTGCTACGTCGGATCTGACACACCACGCTTGCCTTCCACTTGGGCCTCATGGACGCAAAAAAGTCCAGGTACTCGTCAGTCGTGAGGGGGCTGCCTGGCTGGTAGGACAAAGTCCTCGGGATCAACTGTGCCAGGAAGATTAGGAACCCTGAAGGAGAAGGTATCCGTCTGTCAGATTTCTATCGCTTATAGCCAGTGGCTGTTACACCACATATTACAAAACAAAGCACATGTTATAAAAAGTCCAAGAGGAAATTAAGTTACTACAAAGATAAGGAGTACAAGGAGATGTTATAAGAATTTTAAGGTCTCAAATATAGAATAAATATTCATAAATGCACACATATCTAAATATATGAACCATGTGTCTGAAATAGTACAGGAGAGCAATCCTGGAGCCATTTTGACTCTCCCAATGACCTCAAATATTCCTCTGCAGTAAGAGAGGCAAATGGGGAAAGCCTTCCCATGGTCCTTTTGCTTGCAAATCCTGTCTTAAGAGCATATTTGTGTATGAATAGGGTGAGCCTGTGACCTGGACTTAGGAACTAAAGTATTAACCATCAGAAAAGAATAGCCAGGCTGCCCAGGTAATGCAATCAGGGACCATTATCAGGTATCCTGGAAGACAGGATTTCTGCTGTGGACCACCTCCTTCTATGATGTATGTATGATGTTTTGGGGGTGGTCTTGGGCTACAGGGTGGGCAATTTTAAAAAGTCTATATAAGGGCTTGAGCACCATTGTTCAGGGTCCTCCTCCCTCTTGTGTGTGGTGAGTGGGGACTCTGTTGCAACAGTTCCTTTAATAAAGATCAGGCTTATTAGCTGCTTTGCTTCTCAATATTCTCTGGTTGGCCTCTGTTATTTTCTCCTACCAATAGGGAACCCACTTAAGGACTCTCTATGGGCTCTGGAATACCCCATAAGGGAAAGGGAGAAGTTTTTCTTATAACAACATGGTATAAAAAAGTCCAATAGGAAATTAAGTTACTACAAAGATAAGGAGTAAAGGTACCCCTGACCATTAGGTCCAGTCACGGACGACTCTGGGGTTGCAGCGCTCATCTCACTTTACTGGCCGAGGGAGCCGGCGTACAGCTTCTGGGTCATGTGGCCAGCATGACTAAGCCACTTCTGGTGAACCAGAGCAGCGCACGGAAATGCCGTTTACCTTCCCGCCGAAGCGGTACCTATTTATCTACTTGCACTTCGTTGTGCTTTTGAACTGCTAGGTGGGCAGGCGCAGGGACCGAGCAATGGTAGCTCACCCCGTCGCGGGGATTCGAACCGCCAACCTTCTGATCGGCAGGTCCTAGTCTCTGTGGTTTAACCCACAGCGCCACCCTGTGTCCCTTTTAAAAGATAAGGAGTACAAGGAGACAAAAACAACACATGATCAGGCTATTCTGTGATCAACCTCAACTGCACTCAGATCAATGGGTCCTTTGTAAAGCATTAACTGCCAATACCACAGCAAAAAACGACAGCCACTAAAATACCAATAAACAAAACAAAACAAAACCAAAGCCACCCTTCTGCAGTTGAAAGGCCAAGCGAGAAGCACAATAAGTTATCCGTCTGACTTTCAGGCTAAATCTTACACACATTTACACTGTTGAACACAATGAAACGTACACCTGAGTAAAAATGCATAAGATTACACTGTCGTGCACTTGTTATAAAAGATGGTGTTCCTTCACCCAATATTGAATACAGACACTTCTATGTAGATTCCCTCACAATAGCACAGGCCACAGTAGTTCATTACTGAGCAACCAGAAAGTAGAAGGGGGCCACCTATTGTCCAAAACAGAGATACAAAATTTGCCGAACTTTTCCGTGCCACCAAGGTTGTGCAGGCAATAAAGAAAAAGTGTTTCTGTAATCGTTGATGGTCTCCAATTTTTTTTTACATTGCTTTTATTGCCTATAGAGGCTGTTGGTGCAAGCTTTTTTTCTGGTGTTTTTTAAACATGTAGTTGCATATAAATATTTTTTGTAAATAAAATTACTGAATGTTACTGAACCACTGCACCCAAAGCTTGTTAAATACAGTGGAACCTCAGTTTTCGAACAGAATCTGTCCCGGAAGACTGTTCGACTTCCGAAACGTTCGAAAACCGAGGATCAATGGGCTGGCTGCAAAGTTAATGGGAAACAATGAAAAACATGTCTCAGAAACCGTACAACTTCTGAGGCGCATTCGAAAACGGAAGCAATTACTTCCGGGTTTTCGGTGTTCAGATTTTGAATTGTTCAGCTTCCAAGACACTCGAAAACTGAGGTTCTAGTGACTGACTTATCAAACCTAAACTTTTTATTTACCAATGAATATCTCTTAAGCAGGAGGGACGCGGGTGGCGCTGTGGGTTAAACCACAGAGCCTTGGACTTGCCAATCAGAAGGTTGGTGGTTCGAATCCCTGTGACGGGGTGAGCTCCCGTTGCTCGGTCCCAGCTCCTGCCAACCTAGCAGTTCGAAAGCACATCAAAGTGCAAGTAGATAAATAGGTACTGCTCCGGCGGGAAGGTAAACGGCGTTTCCGTGCACTGCTCTGGTTCGCCAGAAGCGGCTTAGTCATGCTGGCGACATGACCCGGAAGCTGTATGCCGGCTCCATCGGCCAATAAAGCGAGATGAGCGCCGCAACCCCAGAGTCGGCCACAACTGGACCTAATGGTCTGGGGTCCCTGTACCTTTACCTCTTAAGAAACAACGACAGCAACACCCAATTTCACAATTCATTGCGAAGGAATAGTTCATAAGAGACTTCTTAACTCACCCACCCACCCCAAATGTCCAGTTTTCTTCATATCCAGACCAAGCAGAATAAGTTAAAATCACAGTGGGATCAGATCGATGGAATAAGGCCCATGTTGACTTTTATGTCTGACTTCCACATGTTAATAGGAGCTGTCAGAAAAAGAGCACCGGCCAGAATATACAACCAAGCCAGTCAGGAGCAATGGCAGTTATAGGCCATATGGAGCCAAAGATGACCACAAGCCAGAAATCCAGCCAGGCTTCCTCTTGGATAAACGGAGAGGTTGGTCACTCACCCACCAGACAGGCCCATCGTAGCAACTTGAACCTCAACATTGCCGTTCTGCATCAGGCTCACCCCATTTCAAAGGCCAACAAGGCCAGAAGCTGTTGGAATGAGAACACAATGACCTCACAGTTGAAGCCATTGCAGGAGAAAGAATCTAGGTGGACTAAGGAGGGTTGGGCAGGGGATGGGGAGGACAGGAAAGTGATTTTACATGTGGCAGCCCGGATATGAGGCAAGATAACACACCAGGTTCCATCTGTCACTGAAAGCAGTCGAGTGGGAAGCAAACTTCTGAATAATGGGCCACAATTCGATAGAAAAATGAATGGGAGCAGATGATGAACAGAGATGTTCTTCAAGTCTGGTTCATTCAAGTGGGGTTTACGCAGGAGACGCTTGTGGGCGTTAATAAATTTGAGGTAGTGCCACTTGTGGATTTTTCTCCTCAGATACCGATATTTCTGTGTCGCCTGCAAGAGAAACTGGGAAAGTTGGAGAAAAAGGACGACATTGTGGGACGGTGTGGGTGGTTGAGAAGGGACAGGTTTTACCACTGCAGGATTCTCGTTTCCAAGATAGCGCAGTCCACAATTTCCCACATTTAGTTGTTTGCAGGGCATGCTCTTTCCTCCACTAGGGATCAACATGAACATAGCTCTCTCATGGTGACATGCAAAAGGATTGCGGGTGCCTCACACTGCGCCAACTCCCATGCGTACATTTAAAATGGAAATAAGTAGGCAGGTACCAAAATGAAGCAGCACCAGTCCAGATGAAAATGGTAATTTAAAGATGGTAGTGAAATGGATGCAAATATCTATACAAATAGATATTTCTCTGGCTTTTTAGCTACTCTTTGAGAGTTACCGTATTTTTTCGTGCATAAGACTAGGTTTCCCCCCCTAAAAATTATGTCAAAAAATAGGGGGCATCTTATACACGGATACATCTCCCCCTATTTTCTAAAATCTGAGTCCCAAAAATAGGGGGCATCTTATAGATGGAAAAATACGATATATTGTATTATGCCTGTGTTCATTCTTGCCTCCATTTACTTCTGTAGAACATTTTGTCCCAACTACAGTAAACCTGAAATGACTTTATTTGGTTACGGCAGTGTTAAGTAGAATAGCTAGGAAACACAAAATGGCAATAAATAAATAACCCCCCCCCCCCGAAAGAGCACATGAAGTAGAACATGGGCTTTAATAAATTTGTGGGCGTTAACTGGACCATCAACATAAATGAAAGTAGAAACCTGAAGGTAAGTAGCAACCAGGGGAGCAAGATGGTAGAAAGGCGGCCAGAACAGGAAGTGGAGGAAAAGGCCAATTCGAAGTCACAGTGCTAACCTATAAGGCCCTACATGGGTTGAGAGATCCCGACTTTGGGGGTAGCCTGTTGGGGGCTGCATTGTGGAGCCAGTCAAAGCCAAAATCAGGTGGCGCCACTGCAGACTTAGGTACAGTGGTACCTCGCAAGACAAATGCCTCGCAAGACGGAAAACTCGCAAGAAGAGTTTTCCGTTTTTCGAGGTGCTTCACCAGACGAATTTCCCTATGGGCTTGCTTCGCAAGAAGAAAGCCCATAGGGAAATCTCTGGGGACCTCTTTAAAATGCTGGCGGTCGGGAGCAAAGACTTTCGCCCACCGCCAGCCTTCAGAAGAGGTCCTGGACCTCTTCTGAAGGCCGGCAGGGGGCAAAAGTCTTTGCTCCCCCCGCCTGCCTTCCCGAGACAGCGGAGACTTCTCCGCTGTCCCGGGGTGATCTTAAAATGCTGGCGGGCGGCAGCGAAGCCTTCGCTGCCGCCCGCCAGCATTTTAAGATCGCCCCGGGACAGCGGAGGCTTCGCTGTCGTCCGCCAGCATTTTAAAATCGCCCCGGGACAGTGGAGAAGTCTCGCTGCCACCCACCAGCATTTTAAAATCGCCCCGGGACAGCGGAGGCTTTGCTGTCGCCCGCCAGCATTTTAAAATCGCCCCGGGACAGTGGAGAAGTCTCCGCTGTCCCGGGGGCTTTTAAAATGCTGGCAGTCGGCAGCAAAGCCCTCCTGTCCCCGGAGCTTGCGGGGCGGGAGGTGGGGAGAAGGACTTTTCTTCCCACCGCCAGCCTTCAGAACAGCCTTCTGAAGGCTGGCGGTGGGAAGAAAAGCCCTTGTCCCCCCCCCCAGCCTTCAGAAGAGGTCGGGGGACAGACTGTCCCCGGACCTGGTCTGAAGGCGGTTTCCATTGATTCCATTGATTGATTTTCAATGCATTCCTATGGGAAACCGTGCTTCGCAAGACAAAAAACTCGCAAGAAGAAAAAACTTGTGGAACGAATTAATTTCGTCTTGCGAGGTACCACTGTATCTGGCTCATCCTAATAATCACGAAAAGCACTTTTTCGGCTGCAACACCCCATTGTAAAAATCCCTCTTCTGGGATGCTTGTCTGGTGCCTAATTTTTCATTTAGGTATCTAGCAAATACAGTGGTACCTCCGGCTGCAATTTGCCGCTTCTGCGCATGACCTCATTTTGTGCTTCTGCACATGCGCGAGCTGTGAAACCCGGAAGTAACCCTTTCCGGTACTTCCGGGTCACTGCAGGACATAACCTGAAAGAATGTAACATGAAGCAAACGTAACATGAGGTATGACTGTACTTAATTTTTTTTTAAAACCCAGGTTTTTTAAAGCACTTTTGTGAAGTCTGTCTCCTGTTGCTATAACCAGTTGAATTCCCCATCGTTAATTACAGTATTAGCTTTTCGCATTGCTAAAACGCAACTTTTAGAAGACATCAGAAGACAGCAAAGTTGTACACGCAAGTTTTTAATTTTTGATATTTTATGATGCTTTTATATTTGCTGGAAGCCACCCAGAGTGGCTGGGGCATCTAAGATGGGTGAGGTACAAATAAAATAATGACAGCAGCAACAACAACAACCGTGCTCCGCCCTTATTTCAGACATTGTGCTAGATCAGCATATCGCGACGTTTAGCTGGTGATATATCGCAATACAGTGGTACCTCGCAAGACGAATGCCTCGCAAGACAAAAAACCCGCAAGACGAAAGGGTTTTTTGTTTTTTGAGCTGCTTCGCAAGATGATTTTCCCTATGGGCTTGCTTCGCAAGACGGAAACGTCTTGCAAGTTTGTTTCCTTTTTCTTAACAACTTAATACAGTTGCGACTTGACTTCGAGGAGCAACTCATAGTACGTGGTGTGGTAGCCTTTTTTGAGGTTTTTGAAGACTTTGGTGATTTTTGAAGCTTTTCCAAAACTTTCCCGACACCGTGCTTCGCAAGACGAAAAAAATCGCAAGACGACAAAACTCGCGGAACGAATTAATTTTGTCTTGCGAGGCAACACTGTATTGAAAACCAGGTATCATAAACAACCACTGCAGGTAAGACGGGCAAGTTAGAACTCTTAAGTGCTGAAGATGCCTCTTCTTCCGTCAATGACTTGCCTGCTGACCACCATCAGCTCTCTGAAACCCACCCCTCGACTCACAACCGAGAATCACTACAAAGTTTGTTGAATTGACTTTATTTAATGCCATATTTTACAACACGGGGTTTCCCCCAATACAAGCACCACCGAGAGAGGAGTGAATTCTGGATGGCCTCCGTTTAAAAATCCACAAAACACTTCATTCAGCAGGCAGGGGGCGCTCCTCCTCACGAAGAAAACGAGACCCATTCCAGTTGGCTCTAAACGGTTCCGCTCCCTTTGAGAAATGGAATGTCGTGGGGGGGAAAGGGAAGGCCCATCTTCTCACCCAAGCTTACTGAACAAGGGGGTTGACTTGGTTGCCCCTCTTCTGGGACACAAATGAGAAATTTTTGGAGGAAATGTTTTATTTCTTCTGTTATTCAGGTGCCGTTCCTTCTTCCACCAACAAGTCTGGGTTCCTCCGAGCTAATGCAAGCTTTGGAACCTATGCAGGGTAAAAGGTGGTAAGAACGAAGAAGGCTTACTCCATCTTCCCCCTCAAGGGTTGCCGCCACAGAGGAACTGGGAAGCCGTGAGTGTTTCAGTACACGCAGGAACCATCATATGGATACAAACCATTCACAGGTAGCTCTGCTCACCCAGGATGAGACCCACCCCCTAACTATGAAACCCCAGGAACTGGGAGAAGGGTGCTGAAGCCCAGGAGTAGGGGTGGGTGTTCTGGTAACCACATCTGGACCTCAGAACACGCAGGTTTTATTTCTTCTTCCTCTCCTGGGAGCAGCGGGGGCAGAACCTGTAGCAGGGAGACAAGGCAAAAGCAGTAATCACAAGACAAATGGTGTCTGAGAACAAAAAGGCATCTAGAATTGCGTATTAAGAAATTCCCAATTCTGCAAGCAGAAAAGCAAGTAATATGCCATATTTTTCGCTCTATAGGACGCACCTTGTTTTAGAGGGGGAGAACAAGTTAAAAAAAATTCTCCCCCTCTCTGCTCAGCGCCCCTTCAACGAAGCGGCAACAGAAATGGAGCCCCTTCCATTTCTCCTCTCGCTTGGCTGAAGGGGCGCTGCGCAGCTCTCCCTCTCTGCTGAAGCCAGGAGAGTCTTGCTCTCCTGGCTTCAGCGAAAGGAACCTGAAGCCTGCGGAGCACAGCGGGAACTTGCGCTGCGCAGGCTTCAGGCAGCTATCCCTGAAGCCTGGAGAGCGAGAGGGGTCGGTGCGCACCGACCCCTCTCGCTCTCCAGGCTTCAGCGAAAGCAACATGAAACCTCCGGAGCGCGGAGGGAGCACTCCCTCTGCACTTCAGAGGCTTCGCGTTGCTATCGCTGAAGCCAAGGAGCCTGCATTCGCTCCATAGGACGCACACACATTTACCCTTAATTTTTGGAGGGGAAAAAGTGCGTCCTATAGAGCAAAAAATACGGTAATAGGTGCTATGCAAACTGAGTAAATTTGTATACAAAAATTGCATTACCTGGAGGCAGGGTAGGAAAACAATTTGGATTCTGTGTGTCACTAAAAGTAGGAGACAGTCTGGTCTGACCTAGAGGGTACAATCCACTATGCATTTATTCAGATGCTCCTGTTCCTTTAAGGCAGTGCTTCCCAAACTTGGGTCTCCAACTGTTTTTGGACTACAATTCCCATCATCCCCAGCTAGCAGTACCAGTGGTAAGGGATGATGGGAATTGTAGTAAGTTGGGGGGGGGGAAACATTGTTTTAAGGAAAGCCAGTGAAAGAAAACTTTCCAGTAGAGCATAATTTATGTTAATTGGTGATGTCATCTGGATTTTTCATTTCAGATTTTTCATCTTGTCATAGGATGGTCCTATTCATACATTTCCTTCAATGCTGCGCCTAGGTTTCAAAAATATGTAAAGCTTTTTTGTTTGTTTTTTAAGAATTTGGATTTCAACAGTCTGCCAGGACTGCATGGAGCATTTGGAAGAAAATGGTTTTTCCACAAAAGAGAAATACAACTAAAGGTTGGAGATGCTGCCTCTTTTCAACAAAAACAACCTTCTCTCTGGTTCTGAGCTTTTGCAAGTCACTGCATCTAACCTTTTAAAGCATTTGTGTTGCCAGAAAAGTCCAATATACATTTCCCCCCACGTCGGTTGGTCTACTGTCCCTCAGACCTTGTGGGGGCAGGTCTATTATTATTATTATTATTGGGGGGTGGAACAAATTCTTATGCCCCACAAATAACCCAGAGATGCATTTTAAATAAAAGGACACATTCTAATCATTTAAAAACACCAGGTAGGCCCCACGAATACCCAGAGATGCATTTTAAATAAAAGGACACATTCTACTCATGTAAAAACATGCTGATTGGGCCGGATCTGGCCACCGGGCCTTAGTTTGCCTACCCATCCACTATACAGTGAAACCTTGAGTTGTGGACACAATCTGTCCCGGACGCACATCCGCAACTCGAAGAGTTCGCATCCAGAAGTGCCGTGTTTGTGTGCAGCGCGATTTAGCGCTTCTGCGCATGCGCGAGCGGTGAAACCCAGAAGTAACCCGTTCTGCTACTTCCAGGTTGTTGCGGGACGTAACACGGAAAGACGCAACATGAAGCAGACGCAACACAAGGTATGACTGTAGAAAGCAAATAGTCACTCACCATTTCCCTCTTGGCTTTGTTGTTAAGCCCACACAAGCGAAATGGAACCATTCAATGGAGCACTGGGGAAAGGGATAAAGAGCACAAAAGCTTAAAGTTAGTGACCCCTCATCTCTTCTCCATGTTAGAACTGTTTGGGGTTTCTCAGAGCTTCACTTTCAAGCCCTTTCCCTCCCTCTTATGGTTGGCCATCACTGTCTTTGTAAAGGATCAGTATGTAATTCTACTCCATAATGAACATTCCCTTCTCCCTTGCTCCTGACTCTCCCAAAGCTGCTTAACAGTCCATCTATCTATCTATCTCTATGGGGCTCATCTGCCCC